CCCAAACATTATTGTGCAATAAGAATTAATCACTGCAATAGCACTGACAATATGTCTCTAATCCTAGGCAGCTAGTCATATTTATGCTATTTATTTACTAGGCAATGTTTACTCTGATTTTACTACCTATGGCGGATGGTTGCTTGGTTGGTTGGTGTAGTTTCTGACAAATAACTAAAACAAATTAAGCATAATAAAAAGTTTATTTGAACTAAGCAAAAAAACAATTCCAAACAAAGGAAATGTGTGGGCGGGCGTTGTTTGAAACCTCAAATCGCTTATGGGATAAACGACCACATACAACGTCTTCCATATCTCAGGTTAAGTTTTTTTCTTGCTATGATATTCTTGTGGAGTACTCTCAATATTTAGGATGGTAGAGATACATATCTTTAATCTTTTATTTAAACATGGTTTGTAATTCGTCAACAAATGTTCTAAAATAAATTGTGTGTGTGCCTTAAGCTGTTGATGTATATAGATAGCCTGTTAGGAAAAGTTCTGTTGAAAGCTTTTGACAATTATTTGATGTAAAGTTACAGGCAGGTAATTTAATTGTGTGTTTTAATTTAAAAAGTTTGTAATTCCTGATTCTCGATATTTGAACTACATAGGATGTGGATAATATATATTTGCCTTTTAAAAGGGCGGGGATAATCTATATTTTGAATTGGAAGGACGTGGTATATTATTATTTTGAATTAAATTGACGTGGATAATACATGTTTGCTATTGAAAGGACGTGGATAATCTATATTTGCAAATTTAAAAGACGTGGATAATCTATGTGTCATAAAATGGGCGTGGATAATCTATATGTGTCATTAAAAGGGCGTTAATAATCTATATGTGTCATTAAAAGGGCGTGGATAATCTATATGTGTCATTAAAAGGGCGTGGATAATCTATATGTGTCATTAAAAGGGCGTGGATAATCTATATGTGTCAATAAAAGGGCGTGGATAATCTATATGTGTCATTAAAAGGGCGTGGATAATCTATATGTGCCAATAAAAGGGCGTGGATAATCTATATGTGTCAATAAAAGGGCGTGGATAATCTATATGTGTCATAAAAAGGGCGTGGATAATCTATATGTGTCATTAAAAGGGCGTGGATAATCGATATTTGTCATTAAAAATCCGTGGATAATTTATATGTCTCATTAAAAGGGCGTGGATAATCTATATGTGTCATTAAAAAGCCGTGGATAATCTATATGTCTCATTAAAAGGGCGTGGATAATCTATATGTGTCATTAAAAAGCCGTGGATAATCTATATGTGTCATTAAAAGAGCGTGGATAATCTATATGTGTCATTAAAAGGGCGTGGATAATCTATATGTGTCATTAAAAGGGCGTGGATAATCAATATGTATCAATAAAAGGGCGTGGATAATCTATATGTGTCAATAAAAGGGCGTGGATAATCTATATGTGTCATTAAAAGGGCGTGGATAATCTATATGTGTCATTAAAAGGGCGTGGATAATCTATATGTGTCATTAAAAGGGCGTGGATAATCTATATGTGTCAATAAAAGGGCGTGGATAATCTATATGTGTCATTAAAAGGGCGTGGATAATCTATATGTGCCAATAAAAGGGCGTGGATAATCTATATGTGTCAATAAAAGGGCGTGGATAATCTATATGTGTCATAAAAAGGGCGTGGATAATCTATATGTTTCATTAAAAGGGCGTGGATAATCGATATTTGTCATTAAAAATCCGTGGATAATTTATATGTCTCATTAAAAGGGCGTGGATAATTTATATGTCTCATTAAAAGGGCGTGGATAATCTATATGTGTCATTAAAAAGCCGTGGATAATCTATATGTCTCATTAAAAGGGCGTGGATAATCTATATGTGTCATTAAAAAGCCGTGGATAATCTATATGTGTCATTAAAAGAGCGTGGATAATCTATATGTGTCATTAAAAGGGCGTGGATAATCTATATGTGTCATTAAAAGGGCGTGGATAATCAATATGTATCAATAAAAGGGCGTGGATAATCTATATGTGTCAATAAAAGGGCGTGGATAATCTATATGTGTCATTAAAAGGGCGTGGATAATCTATTTGTGTCAATAAAAGGGCGTGGATAATCTATATGTGTCAATAAAAGGGCGTGGATAATCTATACGCGTCATTAAAAGGGCGTGGATAATCTATATGTGTCATTAAAAGGGCGTGGATAATCTATTTGTGTCAATAAAAGGGCGTGGATAATCTATATGTGTCATTAAAAGGGCGTGGATAATCTATATTTCCAATCGGAACGACGTGGATAAGAAAAGGACCTATATTTGGAAAGAATAAAAAACTAAAACGTGGATAATCTATGTTTGTAGTTGAAAGGGCACGGCTAGTCTATATTTGTAGTTGAAAGATATATAGAAAATCTATACTATTAATCTACAATCGGAATGATGTAGATAATCCTTTTATTGAATTTAAAGGACATGAATAAACGATATTTGTCATTTCAAGGTCGTAGCAAATGTAGACTCAGATACGGACATATTATACATTTCGAACTCGCGGAATAAAATTATCTTTTAATTTCGATGACGTCGATCATTTATATCCACCATGCTAAATTTACTTATTCCCTATTTGATGCCGTGGATAACTTATTTTCATCATGCTGAGGACGTGGATTTTTCTTCATTTTGAAGGCGTGGATAAATAATAATCTTCATTTTGAAGATGAGTGTAAACAGTAGTCTTTATTTTGAAGGCGTGGATAAATAATAGTCATCATTTTAAAGGCGTGGATAAATTGCATTGAAATTTAATTCTTCATTTTGGATACGTGGATAGTCGTCTTATCGGCGTGGATAAATAAGAGTATTAATTTTGAAGACGTAGATAAATATATATCTTAATTTTCAAGGCGTAGATAAATAATAGCCTTCATTTTGACGGTTATAAATAATAGTCTTAATGTTGAAGGTGTGGATAAATAAAAGTCTTAATTTTGAAGGAATGGATAAATAATATTCTTCACTTTAAAGGTGTGGATAAATAAAAGTCTTCACTTCATCCAAAGAAAAAAACATATCCAAGCTGTCAAGTTTATTGCAATTTTTATCCAAGTTATCCAATTTATCCATATTATGAAAACATCTTATCCACTCTACATAATAAATAAAAATAGTTTATCTGAGTTATCCAATTGAATGAATACACCTCAAGTCCCCACGTGAGCTGTCTGAAGAAATATTAATTCATTTTTCCCATTTTCCAAACAATTAAAAACGTATCTATTTAATATAATTGGTTAATAAGTCTAACCAGCTAATGAAAATGGCTCATCCACGTTATCAAATTAACAAAAATTGTCGATGCACGTTATCTAGGGAATGACATTTTCTCCTAGAAGTTGAAACAAGTTTTTTCCAAATCTCGTGAATAAAGTAATTTGTGGCGCTAGCACCACTCCCCTTATAATTACCTATTTAAAAATCGATTAAGTTCTCATAAACCGTTCTTCTCCAAAATGCAGTCATCAAGTCAGAATTACAATTCTCCACTTGCCCCATGTAATATGAGACTAATGTCTTGTAAATGATGTAAAGATGGCCTCATCAGCAACATATGATACAGACATACCCATCACTGGTCATATCACCATGAAAATCAAATTTCAGAAAAAATGTACTTAAGTGGCCACCGCTCACACTCCTTGGCAACACTGGCAGTGTAATAAAAGTAAGATGCATCTGCCCGTTTTTATGGGAAAAAAATTAAAGAACACTCCCCATGATACCAGCCACATGAAAAACGGACTGTCTATCAATGAAAATTGATGGACAGACAGACAACAGGTAAATTGAGATTTATTTCGGAGACATAATTAGTATAAAACACAGACATATGCATAACCTTCGTTGCTTCTTTCGTAAAGAAATGGAAAACAATAAACCGACAACAACGATGATAGAATGAATACGAAAAATGGCCCACAGCCGGAATCAAGTTAACAAGAACAATGACAACAACCGCAGCAGCTGAAGCCCTCGCGCCGAGCCGAAAGAGAGAGGGAGAGAGATAGAGAGCTCATTGCATGTCATGGAAATGCAGCTACACATCACATTCATTGCTGTAAAGGTAGTAACTGACTGAGTGCTGCAGAGGCCATGCTGCTTCATCTGCCTCAATGATGATAACCATCTGAAGAGGAACAAAAATCGCTGCTTGTAATGAGAAGTTGATGAAGACCGACGAAATTCGAGGCAATGCAATCATGTGCACGCAATGGCAAAAAGAAGAAACGAAAAACACTAAAGACGAGTTGGAAATCTCGGCACGGATCACAAACGAGCTACCACACGACGTTTGATATGACAATGGATGGATGAGGAGGCATGAATGAAAGTCGCTGTATTTGTCTGTAGTCTGTCTGCCAAGGATAGAATGACATATATTACGTGGGTATCACTTCATTGCATTTCAAACGATTACCTACTGCTACCATAACTCCTCTACTCCTCCCTCTTTCAGCTCTTAATCATATCTTGGGTTTAAAGACCGGAGATACTGGCGGCATGGAGGCATGATGTCACTGTATCTTTTTGGTTTTGATTTATGATTTTTTTTTGCGTTGGGTTCTCTTCTTTTTTTTTTTAAGTTTACCTTAATTAACTTTCTCATATCTTATCGATACAAATCTGTCAATTCGTATTTGAGGAGAGCAGTTGGTTTTGTTTCATGGAATCTACCGACAGTGAAAATTTTCTAGAAACGTACCTTTTGAAGGGAAGGATATAAGCTCGTTTAAAGCCTCATACTCATACTAAGCAATTTTCCTTCCATGGGAAATTTCCGAGCCCGACTTTTTTTTAGGAAAGCCCGTTTACTTGAATTTAATAAAGTTTCTTGGTTTTAAATTTTAACCCCAAACTCGATATTTTATATGTCTCTGCCGAAGTAACTTCGGTGGAACTATCTCTTCTTAGCTATTCTTGTGGTTATTTTCACTTTACTTACCATACATTTTACCCTCGTCTGAGAGTATAATTTTTCGTCGACCACATGGCGGATATATGGAGAGGGCCTCTTGAAAACTCTGTTCAATGTCTGGACTCCAAACACCTTCAGCATCGGCATTTGAGAGATCTTTTTCGTCCTGCAAAGAAAAAGGCAATAGAAAAAAACTATCAGTAATAGAAAGTACTCATGTAAGGTGTTCCTTTATGGTATTTTAAACACACACGCACACACTTACATACCAGCAATCATAAATCAAATTAAATGATCCTTAATACAATAAATCATCGTAAATTGTCAATAATTGTCATATATTTTCAGACATATGCATTGGCAAGTGTGTAATCGTCAGTATGGTGTACCATTTCTTAAGTATTAGATTAATAGATTGCAATATAATTCTCACGCATAAGAAGAGGGCTTGTTGTTGTTGGAGATTATTATAGGCAATTTACGAGGAAGGTATAGTGTGTCACGTTGGGATATTTTTAAATTGAAGAAAAAAAGAACATTCATTTACCTCAAAGCTGAGATGTTCTTGGACCCAGGTCATTAGGAGCCTTTTGGTAGCAAAAATCTAGGCTAGCTAGAGCGGAACAGCTTTTAACAAACTGCCAAAGTCCATCAGACGCAATATCAATGGGAGTATTTAAGACCGAAATTCAGAGTTCAAGACCGAAATTTTTAAATATCAAAATCTACATACAGAATATTTATACGTACATGGTTTCGGATTTTAAAAAATCAACTGAACCTTGCAATACAAATTGCGAAATTGGGAAATTGGTAGGCATAATTGGTAAGCACAATGACTCTTGACGCAGCTACGGAAACAAGGAAGCGGAGGAAACGGCTGAACACCTCCAACGAAATTGGGAAATTGGTAGGCATAATTGATAAGCACAATAACTCCTTACGCAGTTACGGAAACCAAGAAGCGGAGGAAACGGCTGAACACCTCCAACCATGCACAAATTCAAGGAAGATTGAAAATTCCAGGAACGGGCGAACTAGGTCTGGAAGACCTTCTGGGGTTTCCTAATTTATCAGGCTTGATAAAATTACCAACCGAGAAAATGAACGCCCAGACGTAGCTAAGGTAGAATCTTGAATTTTTGCGCGAGGGGCAGACTTGGTGGATTTTTGGAAATTCGTACTTAAGGATACGAAAATTACTAAAATATAAAAAAAAGTTGAATACTTTCCATTTGACAATGGGAATGAGCTAGAATTTAGAATCAGACCCAACGATGGAGTGCAGTATAGATGTACCAAAGGGTTTGTTAGAAATACAAACTTTACGGTTACGAAAAATTCTAATATGGTACTAAACTCCAAAAATAGTACCATTAGGTATTATTTGAACAGATACAGCTAAAATTTGAAATTTGATCACGGTTGGAAATTTAGTTCGATATATGAAGGTGGTTATGGGAATGAGTACTAAGTGCGCGAACTGTACTAAATGGTACTAAATTTGGAACAGTTTTGTTTAGGGTGAACGGATGAAGCTGAAATTTTGACATTCTGTTGGTGGTAAGTTTCTGATAAAGAGGTGATTTTAGGGATGTGTACTACAAGTGCACGGAAAGTACTAAATGGTACTATATTTGGTACAATTTGGTATTTGGTGAACAGGTTAGGATTCAAATCTGAAATTTGGTATTAAGGTTGCTGTTGTTGCTGTTCGGTAATGTGTATTATTATTGTACGAAAAGTACTAAATGATATTAAATTTTGGTATTGTTTGAAAGGGTAGGGCTGAAATCCTTAAATTTGATATTAAGGTCTGTGTATCTGGAATTGAGATAAGGAGGTGGTTTTGGGAATGTGCACCATAATTGTACGAAATGTCTTAATTTGGTATTGGGTGAAGGGATAGGGCTGGAATCCTTCAATTTCATATTAAGGTCTCCGTTGGTATCTGGTATTGAGATATGGAGGTGGTTTTGGGAATGATTACTAAGTGCGCGAACTATACTAAATGGTACTAAATTTGGAACAGTTTTGTTTAGGGTGAACGGATAATCACCTTTTGGTGTTAAGTTTCTAATAATGAAGTGATTTTGAAAATGTGTACTACAAGTGCACGGAAAGTACTAAATGGTACTATATTTGGTACAATTTGCTATTTGGTGAACAGATTATGCTTCAAATTTAAAATTTGGTATTAGGGTTGCTGTTGTTGCTGTAATGTGTACTATTATTGTACGAAAAGTACTAAATGGTATTAAATTTGGTATTGGTTGAAAGGGTAGGGCTGAAATCCTTAAATTTGATATTAAGGTCTGTGATGATATCTGGAATTGAGATAAGGAGGTGATTTTGGGAATGTGTACTATAATTGTACGAAATGTCAAAATTCAGTATTGGTTGAAGGGATAGGGCTGGAAACCTTAAATTTCATATTAAGGTCTCTCTTGGTATCTAGCATTGAGATATGGAGGTGGTTTTGGAAATGTGTACTATAATTGTACAAGAAGTACTAAATTGGTTATTGGTTGAAGAGAATGAGCTGGAGTCCCGAAATTTTATATTAAGGTCTTTGTTTGAATCAGGAATTGAGAATTAGAGGAGGTTTTGGAAATGTGAACTATAAGTGTACGAATGGTACTAAAAAAAATTCACATTCAAATAACTGTAGGCGTCTGAGTTGAGATATGATGATAGTGTTGAAAATTCGCACTTAAACTGTAAAAAAAAAAACTAAATACTACTATATTTGACATTGGGTGAGGGGATAGAACGGAAATCCTCAAATTGTTATGAATGCCACTGTTGGTGTCTGTAGTGTAGAGAAGGAGGTGGTTTGATTTGCACTTGCACAAAATGTGTAATAAAGGGTGATTTTTTTGAGGTTAGGATTTTCATGCATTAGTATTTGACAGATCGCGTGGAATTTCAGACATGGTGTCAAAGAGAAAGATGCTCAGTATGCTTTGACATTTCATCATGAATAGACTTACTAACGAGTAACGCTTGCAAATCATTGAATTTTATTACCAAAATCAGTGTTCGGTTCGAAATGTGTTTTTATCGACAAATTTTGTTCAGCGATGAGGCTCATTTCTGGTTGAATGGCTACGTAAATAAGCAAAATTGCCTCATTTAGAGTGAAGAGCAACCAGAAGCCGTTCAAGAACTGCCCATGCATCCCGAAAAATGTACTGTTTGGTGTGGTTTGTACGCTGGTGGAATCATTGGACCGTATTTTTTCAAAGATGCTGTTGGACGCAACGTTACGGTGAATGGCGATCGCTATCGTTCGATGCTAACAAACTTTTTGTTGCCAAAAATGGAAGAACTGAACTTGGTTGACATGTGGTTTCAACAAGATGGCGCTACATGCCACACAGCTCGCGATTCTATGGCCATTTTGAGGGAAAACTTCGGAGAACAATTCATCTCAAGAAATGGACCGGTAAGTTGGCCACCACGATCATGCGATTTGACGCCTTTAGACTATTTTTTGTGGGGCTACGTCAAGTCTAAAGTCTACAGAAATAAGCCAGCAACTATTCCAGCTTTGGAAGACAACATTTCCGAAGAAATTCGGGCTATTCCGGCCGAAATGCTCGAAAAAGTTGCCCAAAATTGGACTTTCCGAATGGACCACCTAAGACGCAGCCGCGGTCAACATTTAAATGAAATTACCTTCAAAAAGTAAATGTCATGGACCAATCTAACGTTTCAAATAAAGAACCGATGAGATTTTGCAAATTTTATGCGTTTTTTTTTTAAAAAAAGTTATCAAGCTCTTAACAAATCACTCTTTATGATTGTTCGAAAAGTATTGAATGGTACTAATTTTGGATCACTGTTGATGTCTAGGGTAGAAAGAAGGAGGTGGTTTTGGAAATATCTACTATAGTTGTTCGAAAAGTTTCAATTTAACTAATTTTGGATTTTGGTAAAGGAATAGTAATGCAAACGCGAAATTTTATATTGTGATAACTGTTGGTGTCTAGGATTGAGATATGGAACGGTTTTTTTTGTAGAGGTTACATATTGGGACCTTTAAATAGTTTTGGACAGAAAAATGGATGTGAGTTCATTGTGTAATGGTTCTAGTCAAAACGAAAGATTTTGAAAACACGTCCATGTAAAAGATAAACATTTTCCTATTATTGTTTCCGCAAAAAGGAGAATCTTGAATACAGCTAATATATAAAACTTTGAAAGTCTGAAAATTTAGTACGATGTATAAAGTTGAGATTAAAAATGTGCAGTTTGAGTTCTAAAAAGACCTAACACGAACTGTTGGAACGAATCTAAAATTGAGAGGTGGACTTTTCGCTGACGCAATGGCTCCTTCGATTTAAAGATAAATTACTTTCCTCCACCTCGTTCAAAGAGGATGGCCAACAAGTTCTCTAGGCTGCCAACCAACCAACCAGCCAACCAGCCAAAACTTCGTCGATATTAATAAAGAGCAACACAGTGACACATACTCTGCGTTGGTGTGTCAAAAGACTGAACACGATACACTTGACTGCCATTACAAGTGATTTTTAATTGTCAAGTGTCACATAAAAGTACTTAAATAAGCAATGCTTGTGCCGCTTCGTTGTACTCCACGTTCGAGGGAAGTCAAGTGAAAATAGCGCTGACTACCGAATCTGGCTGACTGTCACAAAGGGGAAGGGACAAAAGATGTTGGAAGGAGGAACAGGCTGCAACAGTAGTGAGTCGGTCGGAAAAGGAAGTCTTTTTGAGGATTAAACCTGCCACTGAACCATATATGTATGTGTATATAGATACCTCTCTCTCTCCCTCTTACAGCAACAACAAAGCATCTCATTGATACCAATAACAATGAACGCAACACACAAATTTTGAAAACAAAGTTTCATATTACACACAAGAACAACAACGGCAGCGTTGTTATTATCCTGACAATGAAATGCTATTCTCATTATACGTCCCCCCCCCACTCCCATCCTCTACACAATGGACGTACCCACATATTGTATCGTAATATCCTTGGTCTTGTGCTCAGAGTAAAAGTGAATAAGTGAGAGTACTTAATATTGATTTGTATGATGTGTGAAGAAGCTGCTTTAAACAGGAATATTATCTCAAGAAAGTCTCGATATCTTCAAAACTATTTAGAGGCATGCCTAAAGGACATACAATGTGAATGGTGTGTGAGTCTTAAGGAGGGAGAGAGAAGTACAAAGGAGTGTAATTTCAAGTACCTTGTCATTTATTAATTTATTTGTCTAGGCAAGTGTGTGTCTATGTGTGAAAATCACACATTCGGAACAAGAGATATTTTCACGAATTGATTGGATTCTTAAGAAAGTAGGGGGGGGGGGGGGGGGGGTGTATTTTGATAATAAATCAATTGTTATTAGATGCCTTGTGTATTTTCAATATGGCCTTGATTTATTATCCTTCCTATGAGATTACATAGAATTAGATGGTTCCTTTCCGTGAGGTCGCCCAGATTTAGATGGTTCCTTTCTTAATGGGAGAACATAAGACGACCTTTATGAGCTATCTGCCCATAATCGACTTCAAATTGGGTCCTAGTTAATTGGACTCTGGAGCATTTTAAGTAGAGGCATATATATATATATATATATATATATATATATATATATATATATATATATATATATATATATATATATATATATATAAAAATCTATACTTATTCTAAAATTTGATGCTATTTCCGACATTTTCTGCTCTCATTCAATAAAATTAAAAAAATATATAAAAATTATGGCGTTTGACTTTGTTACAGTTTTTTATCTCACCCTGTATATAAATAAATAAATATATATATATATATATATATATATATATATATATATATATATATATGTCGGAAATAGCATCAAATTTTAGAATAAGTTTAGATTTGCACGAATTATGGCCTTCAAACGGCCAATGAAACCGTCACACGCTGTCCGAATGTTGCTCTGCGGTATTTTGGCCCCATCCCGGCGAAGCGCCTGCTTGAGTTCATCGACACTTTGGCATTATTTAGTGCCAACCTTGCTTTCCAAAATACACCAGACACAATAGTCCAACGGATTGGTATCCGGAGATTTTGGGGGTCATTGTAGGCTGGAAATGGAGCGAGGAACCTCATTTTGTAACTATTCTTGGGTGGCGCGTGCTGAGTGTGCTGGGTGCTAAGTCCTGTTGGAATGTCCATGGTCGGCGGCCAAAATGTTTGGGTGCCCAAGGCTTTAATACACCCTCCAGAACCAAATTCGGCAGTTCACCCATTTTCGGCCAAGCAAAGCAACTCTTTAGCTCTTTGAAGTCTATTTTCTTTCTGCTGCGGTGTAAGTTCTTGCACTTTTTGGAATTTCAATGGCTTTACCCCGAGCTCATTTTTTAATATTTACCGAATGGAATATTGCGATATGTTCAGATCACGAGGCATTTTTCGGCCACTGCGACGCGGGTTTCGATCAAGCCGTTTATTTACTTTTCGAAACATTTCTGCAGATGTGGCACTTTTCGTCCGTCCACTTCCTTGACGTCGGGCTACGCTACGGTAACGAGAGATGGTACGAGACACAAAAGATTTAAATGCTGGAGTTCTCTAACGATAGCCACATGTGGTTTTCCAGCCAAATATAAAGAAATCACACTTAAATTTCTTCACGAATAACTTTTTTTTCTGGAAAATTCTCACCAAAATGCTTTTGTACGCTTGAAAAAAATATAATGATCTGTCACTGGAATAATTTTAACAGCTGTCGGACAGGTGGCCTTGAAATGACAGCAGTCTGAAGTTGATTGAATTTTTTTATCTCACCCTGTATGGGCCAAAATTATTAATATTCAATTTGTCTTCTATTCAATAGCCAATATGACTCCTGTTTCTTTTGAACCTTGTAGTCAGTTCGGCTTCATTTTGGCGTCAATTTAGACAAGATTTTGCATATTTTACTTTTGATCAAATTGACTCATAACCAACATTACTTCGGGCTAAGTTGTTTACAAATAAATTGCAGTGCTACTCTTTTTGATTGCGAATCAATGGCTAAATTGACTTCTTATTCATTTGATTTCAAATATTAAAATAGACATAAAATCATATTGATCTCAGACAATGTGTTGTTGTTCAATGTGACTCCTAGTCAATACGGCTCTTATTCAATGACTTTACTCAATATGATTTCTAGTCAATTTGACTTCTAATAAATATGACTTTTAGTCCATATGACTAACAGTAAATATGACTCTTAGTAAGTATTTAAGTTAGAATTGCATATTGGCAAAGGATCCAAAGAGCCTACGTTCGCTTAGTACGGAGCGTAGAGAGATATGTTCTTGGGTTAAAAGGTTGCCTGCAACTTCCCTTGGAGCCTACGTTCGCTTGGCACGGACCGTAGGGAGAAAGCCTTCCTAGTCTGAAGATTTTCCCTACAACTCTCCATGGGACCTACGTTCGCACAGCTCGGACCGTAGGCAGCTTTTCCAAGTCATTTCTCTACAACTCTCTCTCTGGGTACTCTCTCAGCCCGAGTTGCTGTTAGAGATTTCCGGGAAGCATCGCTGCTTCCAGCCACCTTGGTGCATTGCGACTTTGTTAGCTTATTGACACTCTCTCGCATAAAAAGGTAATCTATCGACTCGGGTTGACAAACACTCACAACGTCTCAATAAACGGTCATTTATATTATATTTAACTAATCTTTCTTAGGTTTTATTTACACATTGGCTGAGAGTATACATCTATTGACAAAATCGACTGATACTCTTTAATTTGCCTATTTATAATTTTGTTTTTTATACCCACCACCATACTTTGGAGGGTATATTAATATTGTCATTACGTTTGTAACTCCTCGAAATACTCATGTCAGACCTAACAAAGTATATATATTCTTGATCAGCGTAAAATTCTAAGACGATTTAGCCATGTCCGTCCGTCCGTCTGTCTGCCTGTCTGTCCGTCTGTCTGTCTGCCCGTCTGTCTGTCTGTTGTAATCACGCTATCTTTCGAACAAATTGAGATAGAAGGCTAAAATTTTGCACACATGTATATTTTGCCAGTAGGCAGGTTAAGTTCGTAAATGGGCCATTTACGTCTAAGTTATCATATAGCCCCCATATAACGATACCTCCCGATATTCGGTATTTTGATGATATTAACGACATTATTCACCGGAATTGTTTTAAATTTGGCATTTAAAGTTCGTAATGGATACTACAGCCTAAGACAGAAACTAATCTGTGTAGGTCCACGTCTTCGTATAGCCCCCATATAACGGTACCTCCCTATATTCGGTATTTTGATGATTTTAGCGACATTATTCACAGGAATTGTTTCAAATTTGGTATTTGAAGTTCGACATGGATACTACAGCCTGAGACAGAAAATTTTCTATGCAGGTCCACGTCTTCGTATAGCCCCCATATAACGGTACCTCCCAACATTCGGTATTTTGATGATTTTAGCGTCATTATTCACCGGAATTGTTTTAAATTTGGCATTTAAAGTTCGTAATGGATACTACAGCCTAAGACAGAAACTAATCTGTGTAGGTCCACGTCTTCGTATAGCCCCCATATAACGGTACCTCCCTATATTCGGTATTTTGATGATTTTAGCGACATTATTCACAGGGATTGTTTCAAATTTGGTATTTGAAGTTCGACATGGATACTACAGCCTGAGACAGAAAATTTTCTATGCAGGTCCACGTCTTCGTATAGCCCCCATATAACGGTACCTCCCAACATTCGGTATTTTGATGATATTAACGACATTATTCACCGGAATTGTTTTAAATTTGGCATTTAAAGTTCGTAATGGATACTACAGCCTAAGACAGAAACTAATCTGTGTAGGTCCACGTCTTCGTATAGCCCCCATATAACGGTACCTCCCTATATTCGGTATTTTGATGATTTTAGCGACATTATTCACAGGAATTGTTTCAAATTTGGTATTTGAAGTTCGACATGGATACTACAGCCTGAGACAGAAAATTTTCTATGCAGGTCCACGTCTTCGTATAGCCCCCATATAACGGTACCTCCCAACATTCGGTATTTTGATGATTTTAGCGTCATTATTCACCGTGTTATTTTCAAATTACGTATTTTGAGTTCGTAATGGGATCTACAGTCCGTGACAGAAAATTGCCTATGCAGGTCTAGGTCTTCGTATGAGACCCATATATCAGTACCTCTTTATATTCGGTACTTTGACGATTTTAGGTACAATACTCACCGAAATTGTTTGAGATGTCGTATTTTAAGTTAGTAATGGAAGCTACAGCCTGTGATAGAAAATTTTCTATGCAGGTCCAGGTCTTCGTATAGCTTCTATATAACGATACCTCCTTAAGTACGGTATTTTGATGATTTTGGCTACATTATTCACCGTTTATTTCAAGTTTCGAATTTGAATATGGTAATGGCTTGTGACAAACAATGCCTATGCAGAGGTGCACGTCGTACGGGCCCTAATATAACGGCTGTATTCTGTATTTTTAAAATGTTAACAGAATTTTTGGCGAATGTTATCTTTTTCGAAAATTTTCAAATTCGGTCTAAATGGTGGAGGGTATTAAAAGTTCGGCCCGGCCGAACTTACAGCTTTTTTACTTGTTTTTTTTTTCTCATACTTACATCACTCATATCGCCCACATCGAGATTTTTACTGTCAACCATACTGCCATTGGAGTCGCCCGGTCCCAGGGCTCCTGGGGGACCGGCGCTCACTGGCGTCCACGGTGAGGTTATTGTGCCAGGGCCGACTATACCGTCTGCAAAAAAAAAAAGAAAAAATATATATAAATATTAACATTTAAAACCATTTATTTAAAAGGCAATCACAAATACAACAACAAAAAATCACAATAACTGCAACAAAATTAAATTAAGTCTACCCATATACTCCAAAAATTTGACATTGATTTACAAACTGTGCAACATAGTTCTTGTCGTTGTTATTGCTGTTGCAGTTGTTCTGATGTGTCGCAAAAAAGGAATGTGATGCTGATGTGAAAAACATAAACCGCAAATATGTAAAGAATGTTGAATGAAACAAATCACAAACTACTATTTGGTAAAATTTATAATCCTGTAAAATGCCATACGCACATGCATGGACACATTCATGGGAACCCATGCTTCTTCGCGTGACATTGTGGGTGGTTATTTGCATTTGTATATCAAACAAGAGCTGAGGAGCAAGGATATCCTGTTTATTATTTTTATGTTGTCGGCGAACATTGTGTGTAAACTCATAAAAACGAGCTGACATTTTGCATACAACTGGCTGACTGACTGACTAACTGACAGTGCAGAGCGAGTAGACTTATGTGCTATTCTTCCCTAGTGGTTTCTTAGAAGTATGACAGACACAATTCTTTGTGAATTTCCTTGATTTACTTAACATACCTCGTATGAAAAAAAACAGAAAAAAGTAAAAGTGCCAACGACAGTCATCAAAAAATATATCCGACAAGTCTGGCCAACTCTATTCCACCAATATACCTTTTGATGTTTTATGTATATCCCACAAAAAAAAAAAAAACAGACCAAAATATGTTACCCATCAAAACTCTTCTTTCAAACCAATATCACCATCAGACATAAGTGTAGTTTGATAACATCAAGGATGATCTGATCCTGTCTGTAGAAAGACCTATCTACGCCATTGTCCGGGCACCCACATTTCCATATGAAATGCACACCTCTCCGCATTTTATGCATGAGTTTGGTGGGCCTATGCAGTTTTTTGTCTTCTTTCCTCCATAAAAGCGTGACAACAACCAGACCCAGGGACCGCAGCATAAACACGCCGAAACCAATGTGTTTTTCGTGGTTTTGCCATGTTGAAAAGTGTGTGTGTGTGTGTATGAAGAGTATTGCACACAGAAACACAAACACACGTATATATAGGATGGATGCACTTTTTTGACAATTTATTTCCAAGCAGTAAAGGGATCTAGAGGAGAAGGTGGAGTTGAATGGAGACCAACAGCAACAGAGATTGGAGCTCAACACACACACTACACACACCCCGACCATACGAAGAGCTATCAAATTGCAACTAATTTAAACCACAGTTTTGTTGTCGGTATTTGTTTTGTTGTTGTTGGCTTTTGTCTCTGTGGGTGCAATTTATCCAAAAAAAAAACAAAAACGCGGCGGTATCATTTTAAAATACCGTGATTACAACATTTATCACTGACGTGATAGATGGTACTTCAACACACACACACACGCATACGTAAGTGCATACATAAGGCTTAGCCTATGGGTGACTGTTCTACTGTTGTGTGAGATATTCGAGGGATGTATTTTTAGTTTCAAATGGGAAACAAAATACAATTTATGATATTATTTAATTTTATTATTGGGGCCATTTCCCGATAGAAAAATGCAGATATTATTTAAATTACAATGATTTTAATGGTGGAATATAGTGAGAGGCAAGGGGTTGATTATATTTAGATGAGTCGGTCGGCACAGTTTGTGAGAGCAAATTGAGGAATTTATTTCTTATTGACTCCTGCAAGAAGAAGACTTTAAGTTATTTGGGTTTACATTCCTAGTACGCGTCAAGTCGCTATTATTTTTTTTTGTCAGTGTAACTTCTTGTTTGCATGACTTCCAGACAATGTGTTACGTTTAGTACAGTCATACGTAAGTATGACTTCAAGTCACAAGTATGTATGACTTCTAGTCACTATGACTTCCAGTCACTATAAGACTTCCAGTCACCATGACATCCAGTCGTTATGACATCTTGTCAGTATGACTGCTATGGGCTCCTTGGAAGAAAAAAAATTCATTTGACTTTTTGTCACTATGACTCCCAGGCACTATGACTACTAGTCACCATGACTTCCAGTCACTATGACTTCTACTCAGTATGATTTCTAATCACTATGAGACTTTTTGTCACTATGACTTCTAGTCACTATGAGACTTCTTGTCACTATGAGACTTCTTGTCACTATGGTCTCTAGTCAGTATGACTTCTAGTCATTTGACTTTTAGTCATTGACTTTTAGTCACTATGACTCCCATGTCACTATGACTACTAGTCATCATGACTTCCAGTCAACATGATTTCCAGCCAACATGACTTCCAGTCACCATGACTTCCAGTCACCATGACTTCCACTATGACTATGACACTATGACTTCTAGTCAGTATGAATTCTAGCCACTATGAATTCTGTCAGTATGTCTCCAGTCACTATAACTTCTAGTCACCACGACATCCAGTCGTTATGACATCTTGTCAGTATGACTGCTATGGGCTCCTTGGAAGAAAAAAAATTCTGGTCCAAAATACCGAAATTTTTGGCATAGCCTCCTATATGTGCGAAACTTCCTAGCTTTAAATTTGAGTAAACTTTAGTTCTAATGAAAATAATTTTTGGTATTTATGACTCTCATTAACCAATTGTTAAATTGTTAATTCGACTTCAAGTCAATGTGACATTTGTCTAAATTCGGCACAGTTATAATAATATTGACATCTGTCAATTAATCTGAGAAAGAACTAGATATTATGATTTCTCTATATAAAATTTTTGGAATTTCGGCATAATGAAGGAAAATTCATTTATATACGAAATGGGGGGAAATTAATTGTCCAATGCAACAAAATATATTCTTTGTCACGTCCCTGTGATCCTTGATTGATGTAGTGTCACACAGAGTAAGGGCAATTTCAATACTACACCGAAATGTATGTGTGGATTGATTGGGTATGGGACATGTACCAAACATTTATATCTAGATATTAGTCACAGAAATGTCACACTTTCTCCCCCCTCATTGCTTGTCAAACATCCCATGACACATTTGCAATGAAGTGTGTGTGTGTGTATGTGATAGTCACACAAATTTAAGGATTTGTTTTCTATTTTCATGTCGAGTTTTTCTCTCTCTCTCTCCCTCTCGAATCATTTGATTTATTATTGAGCGTTTATTAAACGCCTTCCAAACAGAATAATTGTTATTGGCATTTCAGTTGAGTACATTTTAATTTTACGATAACGCCTGTGTTGAAACGAAACGAAATGTATAATTAAATCCTATAAATGATGGAGAGTGTTGTAAGTGTGAGTGTGAATATAATCTGAAAGGACATCTGACATACACACACACGTATACAACCGATGTCCGGACATTATTAGTTTTTTTTTTGCAAAATGTCATTTTGAAACGATTATTTATAACTCTAATGCCACATATTTGAGATTTTTACTTTGTGTTCGCTGCCGCGTTTGGTTGGTTGGTGGCTTATTGGTTTTTAGAGAGCTTAAATCCGTTTTAATTTGCACTCCATTAATTTTGTGGTTGATTCGGATACTGTATAAATGATGGATGTTGAACTTGTTGGGAAAATATTTCTAAAATATATATTTTATATGAGAAATAACGTTTAGAGATGACAAATAATAGTAAAAAGGCAGCTGTGATGAAAGTCGACAGAATTCCTAATAAAAAAATGATTATATGAAAATGTTTATTCTACAAGGGAAAATTCTCAAAGTATTATCCAACCTCTGGGAATATTATAAACATTATTTAAAAACGCCTTGCTCTTAGTGATTATGGAAGGGGTTTGAAAATTAATTTCTTGATTCCTCATAGAAAACAAAAATTATTGAGCGTCTTGAAAATATTAGTCACTACCACAATGACGTATGCAAATAGGCCTGGAATGTTGGCAAAGCAATAAAAACTTAATGTTTTTTTATTTAAAAAAATATAGGTAGGGCCTGAATATGTTGCTATATATCAAAATTCTTGTCACTTCACTCTATGATTATGGTTAATAATTGTTTGTATTTTAATATGCCCGTCACGTTTCTACGAAATGTTTGGGTTATTAACTTAAGAGTTATGAATAGGCCATTCACAAGGAAGAAAAAAATAGAAGTAGTGTTATTTCAATTGGGATTGCTATTAGTGTCTAGGATGGCTTTGTTTTCAGACTAAAATGTGTAAAATTTGTTTCTAAGCCAAAAATATTTGAAATATTTAACAGACAAATTAAAAATTAAAACTTTTCTAAGAATTCCGCGATGTTAGGCCTGAAATAATGTTAAATAGTTCTATAAACGATAGCGGGCCTGGAAAGATTCTAAAATACGAGTAAATACCTAATCTAAGGTCTGAAAAATCTCACAAAAAATATTTTAAATAAAGTTCAAACCCCGAACATTTTTTTTTAAATAATTTAAATAGAGTTATTGTTTTTTGCCGACAGATGTATACCCCCAGGCTTGAGTTATAACGGGGGAGGTTCCGAAGCAGTTGACCAATATTGTCCAATTCGATTAATTACATATTCATATCAGATTTCTGGCTAAGGGTAACATTTAAATATAGCAAGTTGTATAGAATCGCCGACTTGTTTCGCAAGTTATGACAGATATAAGTATTGGAAATAGTGACCCTTTGTGGTTGAGGTACCAAAACGGTTTGGCAGATATCTATTATCTTTACAACTGATTTTGCGTTAACAAAAATGTTTGGATGTGTGAAATTTGAAGAGAGTTAAATGCTTATTTCGGATTTAATAATGTTTTTGGTTATTCAAAATTTTGACCCTTTATGGGTGAGGTACCAAAAAAATTGTCCGATCTCTGCCATCTTTATAATAGATCTTGTGTTATTGAAAATGTTGAGATCTACCAAGTCTGAATGAAATAGATTGTTAATTTCGTGTTTTATGAGCTTCATGGATATTCAAAATTCCCTTGCCTTTGTGGGGGAGGTACCAGAAGGAGTG